GGATGGACAATGGTGAGGGGGATGGACAATGGTGAGGGGGATGGACAATGGTGAGGAAGATGGACAATGGTGAGGGGGACGGGCAATGGTGAGGGGGACGGGCAATGGTGAGGGGGATGGGCAATGGTGAGGAGGATGGACAATGGTGAGGGGGATGGACAATGGTGAGGGGGATGGACAATGGTGAGGAAGATGGACAATGGTGAGGGGGACGGGCAATGGTGAGGGGGACGGGCAATGGTGAGGGGGACGGGCAATGGTGAGGGGGATGGGCAATGGTGAGGAGGATGGACAATGGTGAGGGGGATGGACAATGGTGAGGGGGATGGACAATGGTGAGGAGGATGGACAATGCCATGGAAGTCAGCGGTAATACTGGTGGCCTCCAGCAGCCTCGGTATGAATGGAGAGGTCGCGGTGAGACGAGGGAGGACGGGGGGAGAAGTACCAACCTGCGTGAGCTCCGGTGTAATGACCGTGGACTGTGTATCCCGGCTGCTGGTGGGACAAGTACTGCATGGTGGGGAAGGCGGAGGGACCTGCAGGAAACACAACAGCAATGAGAGGAAACACTGGAATACAGGAAGTCTTAGATGTGAGCTGGAAGCCATTCTGACCTCTGATTGGCTGACTGGTAGTATAGGTGACCTGTCCGGCCTGGGCTGCACCAAAGCTGTGTTGCGATTGGCTGACAGTATAGGGGCTGTGACCCGACTGGCTGGTCTGGTACTGGCCATGTTCTGCCGCGGTTGGACTGAAGGACGGCTGTGTCTGGTAATGGCGGCCCTGGGAGGAAGTGACATCGGTGAGATGGAATCTTGAGACAGGAAGTCAAGACTAAGAAACGGCAAATGATACTGACGGTTATAACGGGCGGTCCAAACATCTGCTTGGAGCGATCGGCCATGAGAGAGCCGTGCCTGGAATGACCTCCGGGGCTCCCTGGAACGAGACAAGACGACATAAATACAGGACCCGTGTACTCCGCTACTACCCCGCCAGAGACATTCCTCCTCAGTGTGACCACTACAGCAACAGGGACGGATGAGACCTAGACTGACCTAGTGTCACCTAGAAGTAGTCCTGACCTAGTGTCACCTAGAAGTAGTCCTGACCTAGAAGTAGTCCTGACCTAGCGTCACCTAGAAGTAGTCCTGACCTAGTGCCACCTAGAAGTAGTCCTGACCTAGTGCCACCTAGAAGTAGTCCTGACCTGGCGTCACCTAGAAGTAGTCCTGACCTAGTGCCATCTAGAAGTAGTCCTGACCTAGTGCCACCTGGAAGTAGTCCTGACCTAGTGACACCTAGAAGTAGTCCTGACCTGGCGTCACCTAGAAGTAGTCCTGACCTAGTGCCACCTAGAAGTAGTCCTGACCTAGTGACACCTAGAAGAAGTCCTGACCTAGTGACACCTAGAAGAAGTCCTGACCTAGTGCCACCTAGAAGTAGTCGTGACCTAGCGTCACCTAGAAGTAGTCCTGAGCTAGTGTCACCTAGAAGTAGTCCTGACCTAGTGCCACCTAGAAGTAGTCCTGACCTAGTGACACCTAGAAGAAGTCCTGACCTAGTGACACCTAGAAGAAGTCCTGACCTAGTGCCACCTAGAAGTAGTCGTGACCTAGCGTCACCTAGAAGTAGTCCTGAGCTAGTGTCACCTAGAAGTAGTCCTGACCTAGTGCCACCTAGAAGTAGTCCTGACCTAGTGACACCTAGAAGAAGTCCTGACCTAGTGACACCTAGAAGAAGTCCTGACCTAGTGCCACCTAGAAGTAGTCGTGACCTAGTGACACCTAGAAGTAGTCCTGAGCTAGTGACACCTAGAAGTAGTCCTGACCTAGTGACACCTAGAAGAAGTCCTGACCTAGTGACACCTAGAAGTAGTCCTGACCTAGTG